GAAAATCTGGCTTTCCCCTTGAATATCTTGTTTCAAGGAGAGCCACAGGACCAAAATGTTGTTCTTTTGTTACAGTTGTAGATTAAACCTGGAGATGTGGCTGGGGGTTAGTCCTGCATGAGGGTGTTCCCGAGTGAGTGGGGTCCCTCAGGTAAGGGACAACGTGGGGGAGCATAGCAGGTGAGGGTGACAGAGGCAGAGGGAATAACATGCCAGGCAGATAGAGCTTGAATGAGGAGTTTATTTAGAAAGGGGAGTGAGGGAGAAGGGAAGAAACATAGGGGCACCTGGAAGAAAAGAAGAGAGAGAGGGAGGGAGGGAGGGAGGGAGGGAGGGAGGGAGGGAGGGAGGGAGGGACTGAGAAGCTCAAAGGCAAAAAGAACATGTCAGGAGTTTTTTAGGTTTAGTTTTTGTTGTTACTGTTGTTTTGCTTTTTGGTTTTTGACAGTTGAATCCATTTCTTGCAATGTGTCTTCAGTGCTGAGATTCTCTCTTCCATCTCTTTTATTCTGTTGGCGAGGCTTGCTTCTGTGGTTCCTCTTTGAGTTCCTAACTTTTTCATTTCCAGTTTGGGTTTTCTTCAGTGATTCTAGTTCTACTTTCATGTCTTGAAGTATTTTCTTTATTTCATTCCACTGTTTGTTCTTCATATACCTCATTAAGGAATTTATATATATCATCTTTAAGGTCCTTAGACATATTCATAATAGCTATTTTGAAGTCTTTATTCTGTGCTTCAGTTACATTACATTTCTCAAAGTCTACTTTAGTAGTGTTACTGGATTCTGATGGAGCTACACTGTCCTGGGTGTTATTATGTTTTTATGTTGGTGTCTAAACATCTGGGATTAAGAAGATTGTAATTATAGTTGCTGGTAACTGGTCTTGTCTTTTTGGATGGGTGTTCCATTCCTTGGTTCCCCTTGCCATCGCTGGATCTTAGGAGAGTGTGATGGCTGTGCATTGCCTGATAGAGTGTTTCTTCAGGAACTCTGCCACAGTGGGAGGCAGAAAGGTATAGTCATGGACTAGGAGAGGTTCAGGAAAGAACCAAAGGGAGTAGGGAGGTGTGGTGGGAAGGGGGAACCTATCACGTAGGTTCCAGTAAGGCAAAGAATTATCTAGAAAGACAGGCATGATTGGGCTGGGTTGACCCTGGGTCTGCACCAAGAGTTGGAGTCTACAGTAGATAGAGTTGAGGTAGGAGGAGGAGCACTGTCAGCCAGTTGTTACCAGACTGAGAATGAAGATCTCACAGTGGAGAACAGGAACTATAGTGTCATTCACTTAATTGAATCCCTGCCCCATGTGAACACCGAAGTTTCCCAGTAGAAAGTGGTTTTAGGTATTGGGTGCTGACACGTAGAGGAGGGATGGACTTGAAGAGGTAATGAAAGGGTCCACAGGAAGGAGGCAAACTGGGTCTGCTGCAAGATTTGGTGAGTCCTCATGGAACTTAGGCAAAATAGGATAGGCCTCTGCAAGTGATCTGTTACAGAGCTGTGGAAGGAAGCAAAAGAATTGCAATGAAGTGCAAGGAGGGGAAGATGGCCTACCTGCCAGTGTGGACACGGGGTTACCAAGTAGAGAGTGTTTCTTGGTATTCGCTGCTGACACAAAGGAGAAGTAACTGGCTTGAAGGGGTAGTGGGTCTGAGAGGGTCCACACAAAATAGGAAAGCTAGGTTTGCTTCAAAGTTTGGGGGCGTCTACACGGATGAAAATAAGGTGGGAGGAGCGTTCTCTGCAAATTTTCTTCCACAGGGCTGGGGATGAAGCTGCAATGTAGGACAGGAAGGAGAGTGTAGATGGCCTACCTGCTTCCTGGGTCAGCATGGACACTTGGTTCCCAGAGGAGAGTGTGGTTCTTACGCCCTAAGGTCAGGCAAGTGTTGGACCAAGAGTCTTTCACTTGGTACATAAAATGTGCGGAAGGGTTAGTTTATATGGTCTGTCTTAGGGAGAAGAACAGTTGTAGTTTCTAGGATTTGCTGTGAGGAGGAATTCTAATCTAGAAAGCATGGATGAAAATAAAAACTGTTCATCAGCATCAAAGGCATGGGTGTGGTGATACATTATTTATGATTTAATAAAGCTTGCCTGAGGGTTCAGGTTACAAAGCTAACGACAAACCATAGAAATCATGCAGTGGTGATACGTACCTTTAATCCAATGACTCAGAAGATAGGCAGAGAGATTTCTGTTTGTTCAAGGCCACACTAACTACACAAAATTGATCCAGTCCTAAAGAGAAACAGTTTATGCAAAGGTGACCTCAGCACTTGGGATCACACACCTTTAATTCCAGTACTAGGGAGGTATAAAAGGAAGAAGCAAAGGGTCTCATGTGAAGATTTAGTTTCCAGACACAGAAAGCTATTGTCTCTGAGGATTCGAGACTTTGTGGAGCCAGGACCATGCATTCAGTCTGAGGAAGAGGTAAGAGCTAGTGGCTGGCTGCTTTGCTTATTTGACCATCGGTTTTTTATTTCTCGTGTTACACATGGGCAGTGTTGGCTCATCCCTGGAGGTGTTTCAGAAAGAGGGCATGGGAGGATTTCTTCATTGGTGTTTAAGAGAGCTACGGAAACCTAGGTGTGGCTCTTAACAGAACATGGCATGATCATAAGAACTGGTGGCAGTGTGGTGAAGATGATAAACACTTCGAAGTGCAAACTTCTCACCAGAGCTGCTCCTCTAGTCTTCTTGTTTTTCTCTATCCCTTCCCCACAGCCAGCCAGGCAGTAATGTTTGTTCTGTTGCTGCATTATCTCATGATTGAATTTTTTGTCCTCTCTGGCACCATGCTAGTCTGAGTGGCCATCACCTTTTACTTGATAGACAGTGGCAGTCTTACCTACTGGAATCTTCCATCTTTGTTCTCTTCAATCATTTAGATATTTTGCACAAACCTATCACAGAAGCTGTTCTTTCCATTTGAAGTCTCCTCTACTGAATTTACTATCACCTGGGCTTCACATCTTGTTCTCAGATCATTTCCCCAAAGTAAGCATCCTTTGTTACCAATACTAGATCTACTTTGCCCCAGGCATCAGTTCTGTCATAAAATAGCTGTTCTGTGAATATGTTGTTGGACTAAATCAATGGGTGTGTAAGTGGGTGAACTGGATAAATGCATGGGTGGATGGATCAGGGATCAGAGACAAAGGCTTCACACAGGCATGAATGCCTGAATTCCCTGTGCTCCTAAGGGAAGAGGGATATTGGTGAGGACATTGACACATGAGATAAAACAATTGGCATGAAGGAAATGTAGAATTCTTCCAACTCCTGGTTTTGACTTACTACTCTGTAGAGGCAACTGCCTTTCTTGTTTATTTGTTGCAGCGAAGTCTATACAATATAGCCCAGGGTGGCCTCAAATTCATGGTAATCCTCCTGCCTCAGCCTCCTAAGTGCTGGAATTCCAGATGTAGGCACCATTCTTGGTTTTGGTTTACAATCTTTTGAAAAGCAATTCTGGGAATTAGTTTGATTAAGTAAACAACAGGCCTTCACATTTTTCATGTATGTCAAGATAAACATAATATGGGTTAGAGAGAAAGACAAACAGGAACTTCTTAAAAGATTTTTAAGGGAAGGGAAAGAGGAGGGGGAGATGGGAAAGAGAACATAAAAGATTGTAAAGGTCGAGTTTGGGGAAGGACAGAAAGGGAGAGCAAGGAAAGAGATACCTTGATAGAAGGAGCCATTATGAGGTTAATGAGAAACCTGGCACTAGGGAAATGTTCAGGAATCCACAAGGATGACCCCAACTAAGAATCTAAGCAATAGTGGAGAAGGTGCCTTAAATTCTCTTCCCCTACAATGAGATTGATAACTACCTTATGTGCTATCCTAGAGCCTTCATCTAATAGCTGGTAGAAGCAGAGGCAGAGATTCACAGCTAAGCACTGGACCGAACTCTTGGAGTCCAGCTGTAGAGAGGGAAGAGTGATAACATGAGCAAAGGGGCCAAGACCATGCTGGGGAAACCCACAGAAACAGCTCACCTGAGCAAGTGGGAGCTCACAAACTCTAGACTCACAGCTGGGAAATCAGCATAAGACTGAACTAGGCTCCCCAAATGCGGGTGTCAGTTGGGGGAATTGGGCAGTTTTGGGGGCTGCTGGCAGTGGAACCAGGATTTATCCTTAGTACATTAACTGGCTTTTTGGAGCCCATTCCCTGTGGAGAGATACCTTGCTCAGCCTAGATACATTTGGTCCTGCCCCAAATGTTGTGACAGACTTTGATGATCCCCCATGGGAGGCCTCACCCTCTCTGGGGAGGGGATGAGAAGTAGAATGCAGAGATGGTGGGGGGGGATGACAAGACAGAGAGGGAACTGGAATTGGTATGTAAAGTAAGTCTGTTTTAAAAATAAAAGTGATTTATTTTTATTTTAAATTATGTGTCTTTTGGGGGGGTATCTGCACTTAAGTGCAGGTGTCCACAGAGACCTATGGCCATTAGATTCCATAGAGTTACAGGTGGTTTTGAGATGTCTGTATAGATGTTGTAACCAAATTTAAGTCTTCTATAAGAGTAGTACACATTAACCATTGAGCCTTCTCTCTAACCCCAGGCTTTGATTTCTAACATTATTTATTTAAAAGCTCATGGTTATCAGATTTGGAGAGATGGTTCAGTTGTAGAGTGCTTACCGAGGACCTGAGTTGAATTCCAAGGACTCAGAGGGCAACTCAGACCATGTATAACACTATTTCCTGAGAACCTGGCGACGTCTTCTGATCTCCATGGGTACTAAATGCACAAGGTGCACACATACGGGGAGGCAACACACCCATTCACAAAAGTAAATAAAGGAAGAAAGAAAAAATACCACCAAAGCCTAGCCCTGCCTGGCTATAAGGTCTCGAACAGCAATCTTCTTTAGGACAACCAAATTTTCTTCTTTGTTAACCAAAGCAGTTAGTCTACTTGTCTTCCTGTTTTAAGGATCTAGTTTTGGCTTTTCATTCCCTTTCCCTTCCCCAGGAGTGCTTTGAAGAGGATCCAGGGCGTAAGTGGATGGATGGCTTGCTCTGTAACCCAGGGATGGAAACTGACTCCCACACAGGGCTCTTCATGGATAGCTACCGCTGTTTCCATCCAAAACAGGAGAAGGCCTTCACCTGCTGGTCAGTAGTCAGTGGTGCACGCCATCTCAACTATGGCTCTCGACTTGACTATGTACTGGGAGATAGGACCTTGGTCATAGATACCTTCCAGGCCTCCTTCCTGCTCCCTGAAGTGATGGGCTCTGATCACTGTCCTGTGGGAGCTGCCTTGAATGTATCCTGTGTGCCAGCAAAACAGTGCCCAGCTCTGTGTACCCGCTTCCTCCCGGAATTTGCGGGTACCCAGCTCAAGATTCTTCGCTTCCTAGTTCCTCTTGAACAAGAACCTGTGCGAGTTCAGTCAGCCCTGCAGCCCAGCCATCAAACTCAGATACAGAAACATCCCAGCAAAGCTCGCATGCACTCAACCAGGCCTCGGAAAAATCAAGGTGGCTTCAAAAGAAACCAGAAAAACCTGATGAGTTACTTCCAGCCTTCCTCGAACCTTCAGCAACCTTCTCCTGATGTGGAACCACCTAGCCAGCCCCTTACTCTTACAATCCCAAAGACTCCAGAAGAGGTGACAGTGGCCACAGTGGTGAAAGAGAAAACCAAGGTTTCAGAGGCCAAAGATGAGAAAGAAGTACGGACTTCCTTCTGGAAGTCTATGCTGAGTGGGCCCACACCCATGCCCCTCTGTGGAGGCCATAGGGAGCCATGTGTGATGCGTACTGTGAAAAAAGCAGGACCTAACTTGGGCCGCCATTTCTACATGTGTGCTAGGCCACGGGGTCCTCCTAGCGACCCCTCCTCCCGCTGTAACTTTTTCCTCTGGAGCAGGCCCAGCTGAAACAACTGAGGGCTAAGGGTGTCTGGCATGGTTACCCCATGCACAGGGTCTGATGCCAGATCCCTGCATCTGAAAATGCCTCCTCCCCTGAGGTTTCCTTTCTCTGCTTCCTCTTCCCTCATTTCCCTCCCTTCCTTCCCTTCTTCTAATGCCTCCTCCCTGTTCTCACATCTCTGTTTCTTCCTCCTTGTACACATAGGAACCGGGAACTAATTTTAATCCCTTCTGCCCTTGCTGATCACTGTATTAATTCATAAATAAAGTTCGTGTGTTTGTTTCAGTGTACAGTGTTGAGTGGTTATTTTCATGTTCTTGAGAAAGTTGAATCAGAGTGGCTCTCTCAGTCCTAAGCTTTGTGACCTCCCATAGCAGTATGATATACCAAAGCAGTATGGTGGAGGGAGGAGCTGTGCTCCTCATGGAAGGGGTCTGATGAGCTCTGGGGGTTATCTGCAACTTCCTAAATGTGGCTTTCCCTGTCAGTAAAATAGAGTGGCCAGACTAACATGAAATCTGTGGTTTCCTTGTGAGGTTGGGACTTGTTTGAGTAAGTCAGTATAGTACAGTTGCCTGTTCTTTGTCCACCAAAAGGTTACGGATGCTTCAGATTGCTCTTTATTTTGAGAATCAAATCAGCTAGAAGTACACAACAAAGCAGAGAGCAGGAAGAAGCCCAGTCCCAAATGGAGTGCAGGTAGAATGGGCATCCAAAGCAGCTGGCTTCTTAGGCATAAGTAGTAACATATTGGGGGCCCATGTTCCCAAAGTAGGATCTCTCCCACTCACTCATAAGCTCAAAGTGGACAGGACGATGACAGAAATTGCATGCAGCCACAGACACATCCTGGAGGGGCAGCCCCACCTCAGTCCAGGCTAGCAGTAGTTTCTCTGAAAAGGAATAATACAAGAGGGAAAGAATTAGTTAGACTTGGTCTACTAAAGCCCTTGTTGCTACTAATGCAATAAGATATTGACTCTCACAATACTTTGAGAGAATTTGTGTCCAAAAATAGATTTCTTTGCTTCAGTGTGATCCATGAATGTTACCATTTGTCTGTTGAGGCTGAGATGTATAAAAGACAGGAAATCATGTAGGCAACAGGATTTAAAACCATGCTGTACTAGCCTGTACCACTCCTACATGAAGGATATATGTAAGCCTAACAGATAACGTCTCTGCTTAGAAAATCCTAACCTGATAAAGATGACACTGAAAGTAACCATACTGAGGTATTGGTGTTGTGAGGCAGGGTAGGGGGTGTGTAGGTAGGGACTTAGAGGAGGGAATAAAACTCAGCTGTGGAAGTACTTCAGATGTGTCACTGAGCTCTTAAACCCCTGTTTTGCCCATCCCTTGCTGGTACAATCTAGTTGTGTTCTTAAATACCATCTACACTGATGGTTCTGAAAATCTGATTTCCAGCTTTCCTAGAATGCTGCATCAGTTTCCAGACTTGTATATTCAGTAGCATTTTTGCATCTCTGGCTGCCTAATAGCTATGTCTAACATGTCGAACAGCGTGAACACAGCTGAACTATTCACATTTCTGCCCTCCAGCAAGCCTATTCTGGCCTTTTTTTTTTTCTGGCACTTACCTATACCCTCCATCCACAACAGTCTTCTTGTTACCCAAATATAAGAGGACTATTTCTGTCTTTGGCTATTTGTCTTGTACTATTCTCTGGGATGCCCATTAGATACTTACCTTGCTAACCTCTTTGTCACCATCAAATCTTTCTCCAGTGTCACCTCAATGTTTTCTACCCTTGTCACTTCAAACCTATGGCCCTCCTCCAAGCCAGTGCCTGCCTGCATTATTTCTTGTCATCCTTTTCTGCTTTATTTTTTCCCTAAACCTTTGAACTAGAATGCTGAGTGGTTTACTTTTTAAAACGTTAATCATCCCTTTCAAGTACAGTTAAGCTCCAGAAGGGTAGGGTTTGTATTTTGTCTATTACTAGGTTCCTAGCACAGTGTCTAGCCCTTAGTGAGTACACAATAGACAACTATTGAAGGGATAGTTAAGACTAGATGATGAAGAGAAGGAAGCCATGGGATAATGGATGACTGGGTCAACAAAGCACAGTAAAGGAACTTGAATTCATTGAATATAGCCAGAGAAATAAAATGCGTGTGGCAGGGTTGGAGAGGAGGGGCAGAGCACAAACATTACCATATAGAAAGCACAGGATATCATACTAAGGCACTTCAACTTTGTTCTGTAATCTAGGGGTTTCTACAAATTTTGGGCTAAATATCCTTATCAGTACAAATGGTTTAGCAGGTACCTCCAACTTGTATTTATTGGTATATTATGTATATTTGTTATTGTTATTGTCATCTTGCATATTAAACTGATATATTTTCTCAGCCTATGGGTCATCCTTACCTTAGAGGTCACTGTTCCAGAGGATAGATTATGGAGGCTTAGAAAATGCAACAACAGGTAATGAAGAGATTTAGGAAATGAAGTACTATTTTGGGGTTTTAGAAAAATCCCAGAGAAGCAAGGAAATGAGGGGGGGAAATTATTGATATATTTTCAAGAAACAGCAACAGAGCAAATAAACTAGGTTTGAAAAAAGTTAAGGAGAAGATGTGCAGGATTTTAGGATGATTTGGCTGTGGGATTGAGCAGTGGAAGATGTCTCTAGTGCAGAAGTGAACACTCAAGAGGCCTACGCACTGAGAGCTCTGTGAGTCAATCCCAGAGCTATAGAAGAGACTGAAAAGAAAGGTCTAAGAGTCTGAACCATCCAATCAGAAGCCTATTAACTATGACCATGGAGATAAGTTAGGACCCTAGTGACCATGGACCAGTAACTCTTTATGATTCAATTTGTATATAATACAAAATGAAAATTATAAAGGCATCTCTGTTCTGTGTATTAAGTGGGTTAATACATTTAAAAACAGTGCTTAGCACATGGTTAGTAATAGATACTAGTCAAATTTATTTGATGTTTTGAAGTGAATAAATAGATTAATAGCACCTAACTATCTTCTTCAAATTATACTGCCTATGTTTTAGACAGAATGACTTGTCAGTACATGCCCTCATTTCCTATCTACTTATTGCTGATGGAATTCTTTGATTCTGAAATCTTGACACTATATTCACATGGAGTTCAATGTGGACCACAGAGATTTGCTCACCTATAAATCCTTTCTAGTTTACTTGTACTGCATAGCCACTCAGTTCATCATGTTAGACCAGCCTGAATGTGTCTCCTCTGCCTTTGTTTGCCTACATAAATATCATCCAAGAGACCTAGAATGAGCAACTGTTGTGTGCCAGGTTCTATGTTAAAAAACAAAAAACAAAAACACACCCTCCAATATACATACAAGTGACATTATGCAGTCAACAGATTATATTTAGGAATATAGATGTATATACAAACACATGTATGTATGCAGTAACAATTTGATGAAAAAGGAGGTCATGGATTTGAAGGAGAGTGAGGAGGTATATATGGGAGGGTGTGCAGGGAGGAAATGGAAGAGGTAAATGTTGTAATTAAATTACAGTCTCAAAAATACACCCAAAAGAAGTAAAATGAACATTGGGTGAATAAAACAAATTTGTAATCTTTCAGGGTAAAATCCAAACTACTCAGCTGAGCTCTACTGGCCTCTAAATCTAGACCATGTTTATGTTGTCTTTGTAGCTCAGAGATCAATCCATGCATCCTACTATCCTCCATTCCAGCAATTTCTGTTCTTCATTGTTGTTTTTGAGATACAGCCTTCTTAGTCCATATACACTGGCCTCAAACTAGCTGTGGAGCCAAGACTGACCTTGAACTTCTGATGTCTCTGCTTTCAACTCCCAAGTGCTGGGGAGCAGCAAGCTCAGCTGTTACTGTTCTTCACATACTGTAGTGCCTCCTCACCTTCCTCCTTGTCTTTCTTTGTGTTCCTTCCTCCTCTCAGAATACCTCTTATCACCCTCTTCTCTTGGTCCAAACCCACTCACCTAGTAAGGTTCAGCTCAGAGGTTCCTTCCCCCTAGGAAGCCTATCTTGAATCCTGAAGGTTAGGTCACCACCCTCCTCTCTGCTCCCACAACTTCCCCAGGCACTATGTTTCTTAATCTTTGATATTGTTGTTTGTATCTGCTATTGTTTGTGAATCTATGTGCTGTTTCCCATTCATTTGTGACCCTGGTGTGGAGCCTGGCACACAATGAATGCTTCTAAAAATGTTTTCCAAATCAATTGGAGTCTAGTTTCTTAGCTTCTTTGGACCCTGAGGCTTAAGGGGAAGGAACTAGTAGACACCCATGCTGAGAACTCACCCACAAAGTTTTCCATCATCTGCGGGCTGTGGTGGGGGGAGGGCGCCAAGCGCAGCAGCTCCTCACCCCGTGGCACTGTTGGGTAGTTGATGGCCTGCACATAGATGCTGTGTTTGGAGAGCAGGAGATCACAGATCTTGCTATTGAGTGCCGCATCACCCACCTGGGTTCAAAAAAAAGGCCTTTTAGTACCTCTCACTCTGGGGCCACCATTGCACACTAGTTCTGTTAAGGAGGTGGAGGGAACCAGATCAAGGAGCACTACTGAATTTGGGGAAAGATTGTTTTTCATAAAGGACTTAGGCAGTGACAGCTCCAGAATCTCTATCAAGGGAAGCCTCGGGCCAGCAATAAGATTTGAAGGAGGGCTAGAGCAGGTATCTTGTCTTGATAATGTTTGTGCAACAAGCACATTGCTTAAATCGGGGTGATTAAAAAACCAGGGTATCTCTGGGTTGCTGTCACTGCTTAATTTAAAAATTAGACATGCAAACAGACTGACTCCAGTTGTCCCTCTGTTTTTCTCTGTTCTTCATCAAGTATTCACCCAGCTTCAGATTAAATAAATAAATAAATAAATATCTTTAATGTATAGACTATTCTTGTTGATAGTTCTCAAACAGTACAGTTTAATGGCTAAGTAGTTCTTCTTTGAATTTGGTGTTATTGGTGATCTAGAGAAGAGTAAATGTATCTTGGGAAACTAAATAGATTATATGGACATATAACACTATTTCATACAAACTGAAAGGAGCATTTACAGAGTTTTGATATGGGTCGGGGCAGGGCTGAAACTAATCATCCATGGATTCCGAGGTTACTATTCTTTCCTTCTCATCCACAAAATTGTCACAAGAAATGTCCTTCTTACACCATGACTTAACTGACACACATAAATATATGTCATTTAAGTAA